CGGGGGCAGGTGCTGGGTCCGGGGGTGTTTCGTGGAGCTGGGACACGCTGTCGCTTACCCCTGGCTTGTGCGTTTCCAGATCCAGAAGCTGTGTGACCGCGTAGCTTCTTCCACTTTGCTGGATGACCGGAGGGATGCTGTCCGTGCCCTTAAATCGTTATCAAAGGTAGGCACCGAACCTCCAGAGCCGTATGGGTTTGTGATAGTTTCGTGATGTATTGCTTAAAAAGCTTTGTCTGGACTTTGGCCTAGACCACTAACTGTGCAGTTTTTCTCCAAACAGAAATACCGGTTGGAGGTGGGCATACAGGCCATGGAACATCTCATCCACGTCCTCCAGACAGACCGGTAAGCGTGTTCTAGCTTCTGGTGGTGACCTCCGGCTGATAACCCGACCCCCATCTGCTGCTGAAACTGACAAACAGACTTTATGTACTGATAATGCTAGGAGGCAAGGTGGATTTCCACAACTCTTTTGTCCTGGTGGCTTTTTATGATGACAAAGTTAACTGGAGCATATTGAGAGGTGAAAAGAACAGAATGCTAGAAATATGGATGAGAAAGACCAGTTCTAGGGTAAAGAGGATGCCAAAGTGTATCTTATACTCCCAAGTGGTCGGGTTCCACTCCTGTGGAATAAGTGAGAGGTAAATCCAAAGTTACAATGTTAAATCTAGTATTTGAAATAACCCAAGCCAGTGTGTTATTGGGCAGAAGGTGAACTGGACAGAATTAGGAGGAAATGAATTAAGTTGGCAAATGCTTTTTTTTTATCAGATGTGTGTCATCAAATGAATTGTTAGAATAAATCTGTCGTGGGGAATAACGCAGGCATTGGCACTGAAGGGTTCAAGTTAACAGGAGAGCTGGACTCCATGTAGAAAGGGCTGCTGTTAAGACAGATGACACCAGTCTAAATATTTATGTGGACTAGAACGTAATATTTATGCAATCCAGGATGTAAAATATCTTTGCTATCCATCTCTTCCTGCAAGTGATTGCCTTGCTGTACTTGATAGCGCTCGCGTGTTGTAACTTGGAGCCTGGTTGCAGTGCTCTGATTTAAGCTTCACACACTGCACGTTGTTGGTGCTTCGGTAGGCAAGCGTCTTGTAACAGTCCTTTGGCCTGGATTTGAACATACAACTGGTAAATTAAAAAAAAACCAACAGGCATAAGGGCATATGTGGAATTATTTGCATGTGGGTACGTGGGAAGCAGGAAACAGCTCAGGGTCTAGAAGTAGGCATCCTGCTCTGCTTATGTATCCGGGATGGGAAACCTTTCGGTGCTCAGCAGAAGGCTGTTGGTGGCCTTCCTTGCCTGGCCAGTTACACCAGCTGGGAAGAAGCTGTGGGGCTGGGGTCTAGCTGAATATCTGTTCTTTCCATTCCACTGGTGGGTAGTGAAATGTTTGGACTGCATGCAGCTTGTATGATGAAAACAGTCAGAGGGAAGTTTATAGGAGTAACTGTCACTGATGCGAAGGGGAAGCCCTTCAAAAAATCAGGTCAAGGAGCCTGCTCTCATCCACTTATCTGCTCTTGGGCCAGATTTGAACTTGGAGAAGGGAGGCGGGGCTCTAGTGATCTCCTTTCCTTTGAAATGCCAACCCAAACCCTTCAGGATCGGGACTCAAGAGCTTTTCTGTGCTTTTTGGGCTCCAGTTGTCCCTTCAGCAGTTGTAGGAATACAAGTCGATGCCAGCTCATCTGAGTAGCTGGTGGATAGATGAGTCGCAGGCTCAGCTGTCCCAATGCCCGGTGTCACTGGCACGGTGACCTTGAGAGGGGGGTGGTCTGACAGAGCGGTGCTGCTGCGCCATCATCACAGCTTCAGTGTGTGCCCATGGGTGGGATCTTGGGGCCTTTCCAGTGGCCACCTGAGGTGTCCTGAAGCCTTCTGCAGAAGTGGGAAGTGCTCATTTCCTCCTCTGTTTTTGTGCATCGCATCTGCTTAAGATGATCTTTAAGAGGCAGCCATGCAACTTGAGAGAAAACAAGTCAGCGACTGACTGGAGTTTTTGTCTCACGTGTCGCTGTGTTTACGTGGGTGACTCACGGGCGCTGGTCCTGCAGTGACTCTGCTGCTCTGAAGTTCAGGATTACAGAAGGCCTCATTTGTTTAGAAACATGAAAGGACCAAGAAACAGCATGCTGAAGTCAAAATCCTGACACTTGTTTTCCTCTGTAGTTTAGGGATTTCAGTTTAGCTTTTTCAGTGATCGTTAGGTTGCCCTGAAGATGGGTTCCTGAGTTCCTGACCCTGCTGATGGATATCGTCCTCCTGGCTGGAGGTGTCAGGCACCGACCTGTTGTGCTGGGTGTACGCCTGTAGTTGCTGTGAGTTTTGTGAACGTGATCTATGGGATTCACCCTTTTTCAGCGATCGTTAGGTTGCCTTGAAGATGGGTTCCTGAGCTCCTGGCCATGACCCTGCTGATGGATATCGTCCTCCTGGCTGGAGGTGTCAGGCACCGACCTGTTGTGCTGGGTGTACGCCTGTAGTTGCTGTGAGTTTTGTGAACGTGATCTATGGGATTCACCCCTTAGTTCCCCGTGGAGCAGAGGCAGGACTTGGCTGTGCTGTAGCAGGTAAGGCTTGATCTACCCTCCAGCCTCTTCTGCAGGGATGGGGTGGACAGAATGAGGGGTGAGGAGCCAGCAGCAGGCGTGGGTCTGTGCATTGTCAGAGCCTTAGTGCATGTGTGCAATGGATGGCGGGTGTGCAGGGCGCTGTAACGTGAGAACAGCGACAAGTGCAAGCATGCTTTCCTGTTGTGCATTTACCAAAAATTAATGGATTAGTTAAAGATACACAACTGTTTTATCTTAGCAGCGCTTGTCTTGCTGGAATATGTAATAGCAGTATGAAAAATCGAAGCAACGTTGGTGTTAAGAGATGATTATTTCCTAATGCGGATAAGCTCATTGTGAAGCGACAGGCACCAGTACTCTGTAGTTCTTTACTTCCTTCCTTCCTCCCATTTGCAGCCTCCTTTCGGTGCTAATCATTTACTTTCCTTGTAGCGAATCCCACTCCTCTTTAGCTCACTGTGTTATAAGGCATGCTTGTATTTTCTTCATTGTGAATTTGATGGGACAGGGTGGGAGTTGTTCATAGCTTGGTCTCCTGGCTGCAGTAGGGAAGGGGCCTGGCTGGCATGGCTGTGCTGAAATGGCGAGTGCTGCTCATGCCCTGTTCTCATCTCTGTCCTCAGACCTCCTGCTGCTGGTTCAAATTGTTTACAGCCTTTATCCTGGAGCAGAAATACACCACATCTGTCTTTTCAATGAACACATCCTTACGCCTGTTGTATGGTTTACTTGTAGATTGCCTTAAGCTTTCTCTCCTGCCTGGGCTGAGATAAGAGCACTGAAAACTTGTTCTGCAGAAGGCTGACTTCTTTCACTGGTTTTTCAGCTAATGTGCATTAGCCAGCCTGGAGCCCGGTAACGCTCCTGACTCAGCCTTTAAATGTTCCAGACTCTTACGCGCACCAGTGTTCTTATGCCATATGTTTATTTTGTAATATAAAGGAGGAACTGTGATCTACTAGGAGAGCTTTGCTTTTCCTGACTTGCTGCCGAGATGTTGCCACATAACACCAGGGATTTAAAATAAAAAAAAATTGGCATTGACTGTAGAACAGGCCAGTAGCATGTAACTCTTGGTGTGGGAGAGGGCTCCGGAGCAAGAAGTTAACTGGATCTGTGACTGCTTTGATTCCACTTACACAGCAAGGTTTTTATAGTTCAGCGTGACAGTTCTAATAGTTTGAAACCTAATATGAACCCAAGAGAAAGAATTTTTTTTTCTTAAGGCACAAGCCTCAGCCACTTATGTGCTATTAGTTCTGAATTTTTGGATTGTGATAAGCTCATTATTAAAACTTCTGTAAGAGAGAATTCCCATTTGTTGTTACCCTTTAGATGGCTTTTCCATGGGTGAGTTTTAGGGGTAACAAATGTCCTTTCCAGTCACGCTGCCATTGATGACCTGATAGAAACACTCTGCTCCTCAGTGCTTTTCTTGACGGTCCAGGTGATGCTTGTCTCTGTTCTGCCAGTGCAATGCTGTAATTTTAGAAGAGTGGGTAAAGCATTTGTGAGGCCCCCTGCCTGGGCAGGACAATGCACTTCCAGAGGATTGTCTCTGCTGTTGTTTGTGTGCTCCTGAGTGCTGCGTCGGCGTTTGGACTGAGTGCCCCGTAAAAGCGCTGCTATCAGAGGGAAGGTGCCGGAGGTGGCTGGTGCTGGACCGCTGCCGTGCGTAAAGGGAGCAGCTCTTATGGATGCGTGCGAGGCTGGAAGATTATTTCTTGACTGATTTTTCACTACAGAGCAAAAGCTGTGCATCTTCAGTCTGAAGAGAATAATCAGTGAAGTGTTGGATGTGGTGAACAGCAGATGGTAGCAAGGCAGCAAACAGCAAAGACGGGAAGGATGGTGCTGTCCTCATTTTGTGATGTGTTGCTCTTTCAACAAGAGAAACAAGGCCTGCTTCTTCCACATCTACGTAAGATTTGCTTATTCTTCTGTAGCTGCTGTGGTTTCCCTAACAAGGGAAAGGAAAAGCAAGGCTGAGGGTTGGGTTTTTTTAAAATCTCCAGGAAATAATTTCTATGTGTTTTTCAGCTGTGGAACTGCTTCAGTTACATGCAAAGGCAACCACAGGCTCTGTAGTGTTGTGTTGAAGACCTAAATCACAAAAAAGGGAAAACATGTGCAGGCTGGCAATCGGAGCATTGCTGCTGCAAGAGACCGTGTACATGGACTAAAAGCTTCATTGACTCGCTTTGACTAGGAGTTTGGCAGAGGAGGAGATTGTTTTTTTCCCCTTTTGTTTGCATTACAGGCCAGCTGAAAAGCAGGTGGTATGAATTCAGTGACACACACTGAGGACAAAATGCATCATGTGCCCTGGGAGGACAGCAGGAGGACAAAGATTCAGTTTGAAACCCAACATGAGAGAACAAACTACTCTGACACCTGATTATTTCTAGCTTTTGATTTTGCGTGAGAGCCATAGAAAAGGAGGTGAGGTGTCACCTGGACAGCTCGCCAAAGCCCTTGCTGTAGTGATACAAGACACACAGGTACAGATTGCTCCATTCTGGCTTCTCAGAGCTGCTGGATCACCGTGAGGCATCTCTAGTTTTCTTGGTTGCACCAACTGCTGTAGATCTGTCGTCTTTAATTAGTGGTCTACCAGATAGCTGGCCTCAATTAGGGCTTGGCGTTTCAGGTTGCTGGTTAGGGTGGTTTTTTTAGGCCTAGTAGCTTCTTAAAATGCAAACTTCCTTGCTATGGAGGCTTTCCTTTGTATGCCTTAGAGATCAGTGAAAGCAAATGCAAGTTTGAATGCGATCTTGCTTTGACAGTGTGCTCTTCTAGTGCTTGGGCAATAGCTGTGAGGTTTGTCCTGCTGCATTCTGAGGTGCCTGCCCTTGTGATGTTAGGGTGTCTTTTCCTTTGTTCTCTGACCAGCTGTACGTTTGTACTTTGCTGGTTTATGAGCAACAAAGCAAGCAGCAGAAATGGTCACCCCAAAACTCGTGTGCTGTGTTTTTGTTGTAGTGTAGGATTGATAGATTATTCAAGCTTTGTAACACAGAAGAAACAGGTCTCTCTTAGAGGGGGGCTTATTGAGAGAGGAGTCGTGGTGTAAGCAGGTGACCTAATGCTTTGGGGTTAGACTGGCTGTCCAGCAGCTTCCTGGGGATGCTTGGAGTTAAAAATCTCTTAATAACTGGGGGTAGTCTGAGGTGGTGACATGGAAGCTGACTGGCTGGGATAATCCCGGCTGCTGTCACAGCATTCATGTGGAACACAAGGTTTTGGCCCCTGGTTCTCGCTGGGGGGTAGCGAGGAGGGTCTCTGCTGTGATGATGCTGAAGCTTGTCTGCAGCTTCCTTGGGTGACTTTCTAGAAGGGGTCTGAATCCCTCGTAGAGGCTTCTCCTGCTGTCCTTGAGGAGCAGGTTGGAAGGGGTGACTCAGGAAATGGAGTAGATGCTTACAGGGAAACTTCCTGTGGTCATCCTGGGCCACCAAACCTTCCGGATGTGGCTGCCTGAGGGAACCGAACTGGGAAGAGGAGTTTGACTCCATTTAGGCACCAGACAGCTCCTGCTTATGGAGCATTGTAAAATATCTGTCAGCAGCAGTCCTCCTCACTTGCTCCATGCTGCAAAGGGAACTGCCTGTGCAGAAAAACAATGCTGTAAGAGGAGTTGGAAATAAGTAATTAAAGAAAAGTGGTTCTTTCGTTTGCAGTTCAGATTCTGAAATAATTGGCTATGCCCTGGACACTCTCTACAATGTAATATCGAATGACCTGGAAGAGGAGGAGCAAGGTAAGCGCTTGGTAGTAATAGCTGTACTGGCTGCGGGGTGCTTTCCTTGGTGGTTTTGTTCACATTATAAACTGTAATACGGTGCTGAGACTTGCTTTGTTATTGTGTAGCTGTTACAACAATGCTAAAAATCTTGTTTTGTGCAGCTTGCGTTAATGAAATACTGGATCTCTTGCTTATTCATTTAAAACGATGTTCTGTGAACAGCAGTCAGGTTGGAATGGGATAATTCATGGGCACTTTAGAAAGACTCTGCCTGTTCTTCCCAAGACAGATGAAGAAGTAGACCTTATACAGCTTGGTCATGAAACTCCCTGCCCCTCCTGCCTTCGTTTTACTTCTGAAGGCCTTTCTTGATAGCTCATCAAAAGGGGTCTCAAAGGCCAATGAAATGCTCACAGCTGTTAGAAATAACCCCGTATTTCACCGAAACATAAGCACACTGAAGAGAATGACAGCAGGAGCCCAGATCAGGCCTGGGCAAGAAGAACTAAACTAACTTAAAACTAAAGCCCTGCATTGGAGCTGTGAGCTCCCAGCTGCGGAAGAGCCAGATGCTGCTGGCAAGTGAAGCAGCTGTTGATGATAACCGGCTCTGGAAGGGGGTGTTGTGCAGGACTGTCCCAGCTGCCCTCCTGTGAGCATCAAGCGATGTGTGCTCCGTGCCGAGCCCGTGCCCTTCCTCCCCTCGCTGGGGAGGCTGGAGAGCAGGTCCCAGTTACAGTCACGCCAAGGAGGTGACAGCCACCAAGGTTACTGGCTGCTGGGCTGAAGGAGCCTGTCTGGTAGAGCTGTGCCTTCTGCAGTGAATTGGCACTTACGGAGCTGCAAGAGACCTGCAAGCTGAAATCCTGCTGTGATATGTTATTCTAAACAATTGCCCAAATCTTGGATTTGCTTACTTGCCCTTCTTTTCCTTGTGCATCTAGTTCACTGACCTTGATGAAAGAGGGTTTGAGCAAGATCAGAGTTTTACAGAGCTGGTGAATCTGTGTCATGGTCGTGGCCTTGATTATGGGCTCAACAAGAATTTTATTAGCAGTCTCAAGAACAAAGAATTGACAAACCTGAGTTATGTATGGGGTTGTTTTGTTTGGCCACTTCCGTAAGCAGGAGTAATTCCTGCAGGGGAAGCCAGGAGGGCTGCCTTGAGAGTCTGAGCTTCTGCTGCTGTCGGTTGTGCTGTTTGGAACGCTGTTCAAATTTCTCTTCTTTCTTTTTCTTTTATCTGCACTGACAGATGATTCTGAAGGTAAAAGAACCTTTACTTATATAAATATGGCACTTTGGTGTAGGCCTCGTTGCTACTCACACCCGTAACCCCTGCTGTTTAAAAAGGACACTGTAAAGACTTGCGCTGGAGCTCAGTCAAAAAGCCTTCTGCTCTAGACTTTTTCTTTGGAGCTGAAGTATCTTCCCAATTTTATTTCTGATGTGATTGGGGCATGTCGAATGCCAGCAGATCTCTGGAGAGTATAATAATGATAAATTCTTGTTTAGGATGTCATGAAAGTGCAGCCTCAGCACTGGCAGGATTTTAATGGGCAGGAGGTTGTGAGCAGAGTTTCTGTTTTCAAGAAGCCCTGGAGTTGGACACAAGTGCTTGCGCTGCACGTAAGCGTCCTTCACAGTGTCTCTTTTAAGCAATGCATGTTAAAATAGCGTTCACTTCTACCATAAGCTTACCTCTAACACTTTGTATGTTCTCCTTCTTTACACTGTTATTATCAAAATGCACTTAATCTGTGGATTTTAAGATAAATTCTAGTTTGCAGTACTGGATGTTAGTGAAGAATCACTAAGAGCTAATCTTAATAGATGGAAGCTGGTTTTCCCTTGAGCAGTCTGAATGTGTAGATGTAAAGAGCAATTATAGGTGGAAGTGTGTTTGCAAGATCTGTGGTGTATCCACAGGAGTAGAAAATGCAGTTCCACTTTGCCCGTTTCTGTACGGCTCCTCTTTTTCAGTTCAGTAGAAAAAATACTGATAGGAAGAAGCAAGAGTTGAAGAACAAAAGACTGTGTTAATTTGGCCCTTTTATAGTGCTGCTTCTCTCTGCCTCCTGTAAGCTATCTACTGATAAGCCTCCTTCAAGGAGAAATCAAACTATGCTCCATTGGAGAAATGCTCAGCTCTTCTGTCTGAAGGGCCAAGCAAAAACCTGTTTCCTGTATTGGAAACCCTTAAAAATTAGATTTTAAATGGTTAGCTTGCAGTGAATCACCAACAGTTTGAATTCAAAGGAAATTGGGTTGGTTGAATTAAAATTCCTTTCTTGGTACCCAATTTTTACACTAGAGTCCTTTGATTTCTCTGTTTCTCCATACCCCCCAAGGTACACAGTCTGAAGCTTGTGCGTGGTCTTTGGCCCTTTTTACGGCGGCTGAGTTGGTAAGGGTTTGTTGGTGACTCCTCGATAAGGCTGTGAATCCCGCAGTTAAAAGGAAAAATCCTTGGTCTGCCTCCGGTGAACCAGATCAGACCTTTGGCTGTGGTCAGAACCTCGGGGCTTTACCTCGTGTTTCTGTCCTTGGCGCTTCCAGCCGTTCCTGTGCTGGTGGCTTCATCAGCTGGCACGGGAGGGTGTCACAGCGCTGGGTGTACAGACGGGTGACTGGCAGGGCAGCCTGGTTTGGAGGGTGAGCAGCAGGGCTTTTGCCGCAGCTCCTAACTGAAGCGCAGGTCTGTCTGAGCTGCCTGGAGCACAGAACTGAGCCCGAGCCGGTGGCAGCATGCTCCGTGGGACCGCAGGGGCTTTGAGCTGATGGAGAGAGAAGGGGGCAAAGCAGCACATGGTTTAGGGGATGGCTGGGGAGAGGAGGCTCTGCAGGGAGAAACTCCCTTTCAGTTAGAATTGCTGTTCCTCTTTTCCAACTGAAGTTCCTCGACTATGCACCTACGTATGATTGGGTTGTGACGTAGGTTGTAACTTGTCTCTCAGCCTGGAGAAACAGCAGTGGTGCAGAGGTTTGCAGGTTTTCTGTTGTTTTGTGGGATACTTTGGCATTTTTCTTTTGTTTGTGCAACAATGATGCATGAGACAATGGTGTAAGATGAGACTGACGTGCAGCCCCAGTTCTGCAGGACTGAAGAGTAAATTGCAGAATGACACATTTCCCCTGTGGAATTAATTTGGATTCCAAGACTGAGAGGCTTTGATGCTCATCTGCTTCAAACTTACTCTCCCTTCCTGATGTTTAAGCCTTTTCTATTGATAAACCAAAATAAATTGAAACCACGTTTGAACCATTTAGCAGTAAATGGTTTATACTCCCCACTGCTTGCTTCCAGCCCCTTGCCATGAAATGCGCTTTGCTCCTGCACGTTAGTGCATGGTCCTTGGGAGGAGCCTTGCTACTGCATCAGTTCAGCTGCATGCAAACTAGCCGCTTCGAGGCTTTCTGCCCCTCTGCTGGGAGGGTTCTTTGCTCTCTGAATCTCCGCTTACTTAGGAGTGCTTGGTTATATCTGTAAGCAGGCAGTGGGAGGGTGAGAGCTGTGAATCCGGTCAGCTATCATCCATGGAAAGAGGATTTTTTCTCTTAATGCTGAATTGAGTTTGTTCAGTAGGTTACTGGTTCCCTCCTGTTTTTAAAACAAAACACCTCTCAAAAGTCGTTTAGAATAATGTGGGTTTTCTCTTTTGCGCAAAGCTTGCAGCAGTGTTTGTTTTGAAAAGAATTTAATTAATATTATAGCTGTGATGCTAAACTTTGTTGTCACCTATGGCCTTGTTTCAGTAAGAATAAAGATCAGAAACCCCTGAAGTTCTCCCAGTCATCTGGTGTAGGTGTAATACGTGGGTTTTTACTCTTACAGAAGAAAACTTACCAAAACAAGTTGATGATTTGGGAAGTCAGTTCACAGAGATTTTCATTAAACAGCAAGAAAATGTCACACTCCTGTTGACTCTTGTGGAGGTGAGTAACAGAATCATACTTGAAATGTGGAGGGACATGTGCAGCTGCCCAGGGAGCTCATCTGTGTGGGTAAAGCTCCGGTTTTTTCTTTCTAGAGAAGGCTATGTCAAATGTAAGGTTTTCTTAGACACAGTGAATGTGGGGTTGGAGGTGAGTGATGACTGTCACCTGGCTGAAGGCCATTAGTGCAGCTTTTAAAGCGGGGTAGCAGTGAAAAGGTTTTAGATATTTGATTAGATTCAGCCTCAGGAGGTAGAAAAATAACCGAGGAGCACAGTTGTGTAGATTATGATTACTGAGTTACTAAAACAGTCTTTCTGAAACTTCTGTGTGTGGCTGTCCTATAAAACTATGAAAGGCTGCCTCAGAAATACACTCCTGAGATGCATGAATGGGGAAATCCAGGATAGCCTTGCCTGATAATCCGTTACAAGTTAAGACTGGGGCCTTACTCCGCAGCTCTGCAAGTTCAAACCAGCAAGCATCTGTCCGGAAGGCAGGTGAAACCTACAGGTGGAGCTGTGAGACCGCTGAAGCTAGCTCGATGTGCCATGGCATGCAGAAGCGTCCTTTGATAAAAACGTGTACAGCGGTGTACAGAGCTGGAAGCCTGCAGTGCCTTTGCAGGGTGTATGTTCTTTTTCTCTGCAGAAGCCTTCGTTCATCGTCCTCTTTGCTAGCAATATCGTGCCATTCAGGGTTTGTACTCTACACGAGTCAGTTTTAGCAAAAGCTTTATGACCCCTGCAGCCTGTTTGGAGACAGGTAGAAAATGGATCAGCTACTGCCTCTGTGCTGCAGCGGGCAGAGCTGAGATGTTTATCTTGGCCAGTATATGGGCTGATCCCTGGAGGATCAGATGGGCTGCTTTTAGGAAGAAGAAATAGCTAGGAAAGCTGTCCCAGAGGAGAGGGAGGAAAGGAAACTGCAGGGAGTTCACATTGCTGGTAATAAAATAGAAAGAATCCCAGAACAGGATGTGATTCAGTGACATCCTCTGCCCATGTGCTGTAACAGGATGGATGAAAAAAAGAAACTGACAGGAGGTGAAATTCCTTATTGGTTTGGTGTCTTTCATAACTGGTGGCCAGAAGAGAAAGTTGAATACTGAGGAATTTATTACTTAATGTACTCCTCTCCATCATTGCAGGAATTTGATTTCCATGTTCGTTGGCCTGGAGTGAAGCTACTTACGTCTCTCTTAAAGCAGCAAGGACCTCAAGTCCAGCAGATAATTCTTGTGAGCCCTATGGGTAAGTGCTTGAGTTTATTGCTGAGAAAACTGAAGCTGGAAGCTCAACAATCAGTGCAGAGAGCTAGAGGAGTCTTGAGCAAGGTTGTTTTAAAGACCTCCAGCATGAAAAAGCTGCGTCATTATGCTCTTTTTAATGCATTTCTTGCAGGTGTTTCCAGACTCATGGATTTACTAGCAGACTCTAGAGAAGTTATACGAAATGATGTAAGTACAGAACAAAGGCAGCTTAGCCTCTTAATAAATAGTAACTGTCAACTGAATTGCTTAGTACTTGTGCTGAATTTGGATTAAGTTAAACAAATGCATGGGAAGAAATTGTTGTCGTTGCTGATTGGGAATATTTCATTCTTCAGTTGAGTTGGGTGGATTTTGGATGTCTCACTGCAATTCACATAACGAAGGCAAACTGTTAACTGTATGTTTAATGCAAATGTGGACCCTTGTGTAGGGTTTTCGTAGCATGTTAGCTGATCTTTCTCTTGGCCTTCTGTCAGGCTCACTTCAATTCTTCCTTTTTAATCATCAGATAGCAAAATGCTCTACTTACTAGAGAGGAGATGAGATCCTTTACAGGTTCCCTCTTTCTTCTGTATAGCCACTTAGCATCCTTTTTAGCAGTGCTGTGCTATTATTAGTAATGCTATTACTATTCTGAAGTGCAGGGAGGCACGAGGGAACGGGTGCATGGTGTCCAGGGTTGGTTTTGTTACCTGTGCCGAATTGCAGGGCATGCACTTCTGTCCTGTGACTCCGGCCAAGGGTTATGCTGCTGATATAACATCCTTCTAAGAGCTGTGATTTGTGAAAAGCAATGTAGTTCTGGTAACACTAACTTTAATTTCTTCTCTCCCCCGCCTATCAAGGGAGTCTTGTTGTTACAGCAATTGACAAAAAGTAATGCAGCCATACAGAAGATTGTTGCCTTTGAAAATGCCTTTGAGAGACTTCTGGATATCATAACAGAAGAAGGAAACAGTGATGGAGGTACAGAAAAGACTAAGACTTTTTCTTAGCCCCGTGCTTCTGCACACTGTTAGGTGACAGTGTTTACAGGCTGAGGTTAGTATGCAGCTGGAGCTAGGTCAGCAGGTAGAAGGATTAAAACACAAAACAAGCAAACACAGACTGAGCAAGCAGGCAAGGCTTCAGCATGTTTTGAAAACTACCCTTGAGATATTTAGTTAAAATGTCAGTTAATTTTGCGGAGCATGTGTGCATGTCTGTGAATGTAAATACTCTGAATGGCAGTGTCAAATCTGTGTATGCTGCGATTGTCACTTACCGGGTTGAGCATCTGCATTCCTCCCGCAAGATCCTTGGATGTTAGGAGCGGTTGGAAGTAACAGCTTGCTGTGTTTCTTCAGCCTCACTAATAACTTCAGTTTTCTGGTCAGTTCCTTGCCAAATCATTTACCTGTTGGGGGAAAAAAAAAAAAAAGGATTAAAAGTGATAAAAAGTGACACAGCACTTAGGTGCTTTTTCTTTTTAAGTGACACATCAGTTTACCACTAATTGCAGTTTGCTATAGGATCTATGTCAGTAAAAAGACAGGTTGCTGTTCAGTGGCCCTCTGAGGGCTGCAGGAGCAGTTACCGTAATGCTTGTCTCCCAGCTGAATTATTCCAGGTATACTGGCATGGAAGGATTGAGCAAATCTTTGATTCAAAGCTGCTGTTTTTAGGCAGTTAATAATTTGGGGAGACTTGGTACGTAAATTCCTAAGTGCTAAGAATTCTCTGTTTCCCCCCTCCTACGTGTCCACTCCCTGTGTCTGCAGCCCTGCCGGGGGCTGGATGGGCAGCTGTGGCCCTGCAGCAGGAGTGGGAAGGGGACAATGTGCCACCTGGTCGCTCGTGTTCTCCCACGCCCGAGTCTGGCACTGCCGGTGTGTTTCCAGAAGCACAAGGAGTAAATCTTTAACCTTTTTGTGGAGTCTAGCTTTAGAGGCATCCCAGCAGTACCAGAACAGGCTGCCTTGATTCCTGTTGTCTTCTGGACAGAGCTGTCTGGGGATTTTCTCTTCACAGAGTTATTAGTATCTGCAGTTATTTTTCAGGACAGATAACCTGAGGGTTAAAAAAAAAAAGCTGTCGCAAGTCCAAGGAGCTGAGTTAGAATTGGCCTAATATATGGGCTATTTTTAAGAATTATTTGTCCACCAAAAAGTAGCTTTGAAATGAGTTGAAGATGTAGCCAGTGATGAAGATAATGAGCGTGTAACCCAGTAAGACTAGCTGCATTTGGCTCCAGTGCAGTTCAACAGGATCCTCATTGCGGTGCTGACAGCACAGGGATGGTAGCGTGGCTTGGCTCTGAGTGGGTACGCTTCAAGGGATGGTGAGGCTTTGAAGTTCCTCCTGTTCCTGCCCAATCAACTCGTACAAACTGTATATCCTTTGGAAAGAACGCTTGTGCTTCGGACTTGTGTAAGAACCATAATTATGGTTTCCTTGGGAATATGCTGGATCAATGCTAATACATTTAGAGTGACCTGTGGTAATTTTTTTTCATGCATTCACAGTTCTTGATCCAAATCTTAATGTTTGTTAGGAATTAAGAGTTAGAAATGTGTGCTGTTCCATACAGAACATACTTTGTGCATAGAGAAGCGAGTTCTTTTGATTAATTTTTCGGTTTTTTTTCTCTTGCCAGGAATAGTAGTGGAAGATTGTCTCCTCCTGCTACAAAACTTATTGAAGAATAATAATTCCAATCAGAATTTCTTCAAAGAAGGTTCGTACATTCAGCGTATGAAGCCTTGGTTTGAAGTTGGAGATGACAACTGTGGGTGGTCTGCACAGAAAGTAACGAATCTTCACCTAATGCTGCAGGTAAGACACTTCACCTGACTCCTCAGTACCGATGTCCAGGCTTTTTCAGCTCTGGTGCAATGAAGAGAAAGCTCAAGGTAGTGGTTAACTGTGAAATCTGTGTGTTGTCTCTAGCTCGGTATCAGCTATGGACACCCGTGAGATGTACTGATTTAGGCGCCAATGCTGCTTCCAACTGGTGACTCTGTGCGGGCTGGGGTATCGTGGCACCTTGTTTCATGTCAGGGGATTTGAGTTAAGTGTGTAATTAGAGATGTTCTGTGTGCAGAATCCTCCTGTGTGAATTCACGTGTGGCTGTGGTGCATTGACAGAGTTCCAGCAGCTCCCTTCACTAGGGGTTTGCAATGATTGATTGTTGGTATCTTCCCTTCCACTCACCCCTCCAAAAAAATGAAGCAAGGTTTTCCTGTTCTGTGGCACTTTGTGTGGCACCTGAAAATTAACAATGAAGATAGTTTCTCACTTTCTGAACCCTAGTTCAGACAAATGGCAAGCCAAAGCTTGATTCCTCATCAGGTGGTTGCGATGTTTGCAGTGGAGTCAGATATCTGAAGATTATAGAGGGTTTAACCAAACTCAGAATTATATGGCTATACATCGTAACGAGATACATGTGCTGCTTAATTGGTTTTTATGTCCCTTTTTAGGAGGAATTCTGTTTCATGGCTAAACTACAAATGGGTTAATTTGTCTTGTCCTGCCTTTCGGATGGTCTCAGGCTGTCTTCATACAGAAACTTTTTTTTTTCCCCCCAGCTTGTGCGGGTGCTCGTGTCCCCCACAAACCCTCCCGGTGCTACCAGCAGCTGTCAGAAGGCCATGTTTCACTGTGGGTTGTTACAGCAGCTCTGCACAATCCTGATGGCAACCGGAGTGCCTGCGGATATCCTGACAGAAGTAAGGGGAGCAAATGGGTGTAAGTGGGTGAAAGCAGGAGTCTACAGGGATAACTGATTGCTGCAGAGACAAACTGAAATTACAGTATTTGCTAAGAATACATTTGGGATCCCACAGACATCAGCATCCTGTGTGGGCAACAGAAATTTAAGAAAGTCTTTTACATTATATTCTGCAACCAGAAAGTGTTCAGATTTGCTTATTTCTCCTCTGGGATTTCAGCATATCCCAGAGTGGCTGAATTGATTCATGTTTTTCACTGGTTTTCTGTTTTGTTGTTGTTGCTTTTTCCGTTTGAGAGAGTCTAGAAGTATTCTGATGTGGCAGGTGTCCGATGATGAGCGATTTCTAGCGTCCAGAAAGCCCCATCAGCAGTTCAGGAGGAGGTGGTTTTTTCCCTGGATAAAATGATGTGCTTCGATCGAGTGTAGCATGGTCTCCATACCAATGCTTTTATCTCTCAAAAGCTGAGTTTCTGAGGTTTCACCTCTGGACCCCTCTGGAATGTCCAGTTTATCTGGCTGTCATAGCAGAGCTGATCGGACGTAGACAAAGAAGTTGGAGGTAGCGGGGTATGACAGAGCTGTCTGAGCCTTCTGTCCCTTCACCTTGGCTCAGCATGCTTCACAGCTGTTAGCTGTTGGGATTTCATTTGAAATGGTTTTACTGAATAAATCTCTCTGCTGAGACCTGGTGTGTATTTTTCCGTACCAAGCCGACAAGGTAATCTTGAATAACTTTGATCTAGGTAGTAGGTTGTGGCTCACATTTAACTAACTGTACGTTTAATTTTCTCTGCCCTTTCTGTAGACCATTAATACTGTATCAGAGGTAATTCGAGGATGCCAGATGAACCAAGACTACTTTGCCTCTGTAAATGCACCTTCTAATCCACCAAGGTAGAGGAAGAAAAGTGTTTAACTGTGTTAGGTAATGATGTATTGGTGTGGGCAATGGCAGTCTAATCCAAAGGATTGTTTAAATCCAGAGTTAGGAATGATGATACGGAGCCAACATCTGCACGTTCACATTAGATGTATTAGATACAGCACGAAGGGGCCAGGTGTGTTTCCCCAGAGACGAGGCCTAGAACTGATTTTATTTAACGTTACGTGGTACCTGAAAAGTGCACGAGTAATAGTTGAGAAATTCCTGGATCAGGACGAGCTGCCACTGTCAGCCAGAGGACAGTCTGCGAAAGGGTTTAGAGGCTATGGAAACAGTCAGGTAATTGATGTTTACTCAGCCTGGGGAACAGCGAGCGTTACCTTAATGAGATCTTAATCGCAGCATTTGAATACGAGGTTGAGGGTAGAAGGAGAGCATTCTGTGTTACAGAAGTTGCTCCTGGCCTTACGAGGCATCTCCTGCAGCATTCCTGAAGCTGGCAGGGAGCCGCCAGGGACTGGATGTGAAATGAAAATATCGCAGAGGAGCACTGGCTCATTGCAGTCACATATAGTCAATCTACTGGTTTGGGTTTTAACTAACTGAGAAACTTTGGCATTAAAATCAAAGATTTTACTCAGGTATATGAAATGGTAATAGATTCTTTACCTGGAGAATATGCTCCAAGTTGTGTATGTGCAGTTGTCTTAAAGCTTTGTCCTAATGCTATTTCTCGTTCCTGTCCAAACAGGCCTGCAATTGTAGTACTTCTGATGTCCATGGTGAACGAGAGGCAGCCTTTTGTGCTACGTTGCGCTGTTCTCTACTGCTTCCAGTGCTTTTTATACAAAAACCAAAAAGGACAAGGAGAAATTGTTTCAACGCTTCTGCCATCTACTATAGACGGTACGCAAAACTGACACCTCTGGGGTGAGCTATGAACTGGCGCAAATGTTTAATGTGTCAACTGATGGCTTCTGCAAAATGATTTACCTGCAGTTCAGTGTCCCAAGCAAGATGACTTGGCTTATGATTTCTCTAAACCCTCACAAGTTTCACTTTTCTGGGTTTTAACTGTGTGCTGATGTCTTAAATATTCTGTCATTTTAATGTCTTGTTTTAATCCTACCGGGACCTCTTGGCCGTTCTGGTAGCTACAGGTAACTCTGTCTCCGCTGGTCAGCTGCTCTGCGGGGGCCTCTTCTCCACGGACTCTCTCTCGAACTGGTGCGCAGCCGTGGCCCTGGCCCACGCTTTGCAGGAAAATGCAACTCTGAAAGAACAGCTCCTGAGAGTTCAGCTAGCAACGAGCATCGGCAACCCGCCCGTGTCGCTGCTGCAGCAGTGCACCAACATACTCTCGCAGGTACGGCACGGGCTGCTCCCGGCTTCGGGATGAAACTCGGGTGGCCAGGAACAATGCTGCTCTCGTGCAGGCGCATCACAGGGCGATGTGAGCACTAGCTGAATGAGAAAGGATTCTCACTGCTGCTGGTGGCTTTTAAGCTTTGGTTAAAGCACTCTGCACTTCAGGGGGAGGAGAAAAGCAGCAAATGGTGCTTTTTCATCAGCTATTGCTGCTTGATGTTTCCTACTCTCAGTAGGCAGAGGGTCCTAAAGCATCTAGAACTTAAACTTGGGATAAAGACAAGGCGAGCAGGCAGGATCCCCAGTCCCGTTGTGTTGCTGAAGAAGTGCCTGGTTAGCGTTTAGCCCACAACTGCTGACTTGAGCCATCTTGAAAATACCAGGCTCTCGTGTATTGATTGTTGGCTTTGCTGTTCAAAGCTAAGAGCTTTTTTGAACTTTCTCCATGTGTTAACACCTGGCTTTGCAAATGCCAAGTGGTTGAACCTCACCTCCTAGACCACGCTTGCCTGTGACACGCACTTCTGTTGCACAGCCTTTCTCCCTGAATGGTTTGGATGATAAGGAGCTTGTTAACTCTGGCAGTGATTAGACTTCCCTGCAGTTAAGAATAATGGCAGAATGCTTGTACTTTGAATTCATTTGTGTGACTTTTCATCTGCTTTACCTGAGAATAGACAGCTCTCCTTTGTATCCTTTTCCCAGCACTTTTGTCGAGGTAAATTTGAGCCACTAGAACTGCCTGTGGCTCTTTAGCCTTAAAAGATAGAAGGGACCCACACTGTTGGGGGGATGTTTCTGAAATGTGTTCCACTTCAAAGCTCTCAAGTAACGCGTGTGTAACTTGCAGGGTGATAAGATCGACAGACGGGTATGTATTTTTTTGGCACAGCTTTGGCATGTTCTTGCCAAAAGCAGGCCTTTTCCTCTTGTCTTGGGTTTCGCTGCGGAGGTTTCCTTTAACTGCTTTTTGATGTGTTTCCACTTACAGCTTTGTGTTGCGTTTGGGTTTGGGTTTCTTCCTAGCATAACAAGCTCTTTCTGTGTCTCCAGGGGATTCTCTGGGAGTGCTCCACAAAACTATGGGATAAAGATCTTGGGTAGCACGGGTGCATTCTTTGCAGTGGGGTGGACTCACTCACCATCTGTTCACCTAACAGATGCGCTTTCGTGTATGAAAAACCAAAGCTGTTAGAAATGCTGTTTTCCCAGACTGGCCTGTAACAACAGCTGGTACAATCTGAAGTGGGAACATGCTGCTTATTTCCCAGCTGCTAAAAGAAAAACTGTGTTAAACCCGAGTTCCGGCCACTTTTGATGTTCTACTTACCAGCAAAAATTTTAGCTTTGGAGCTGCTAGTTGTGAGTAGCAGGGATCTCATTACTAGCAAATGACCCTCGAAGTGAGCTGTTAATACGACATCACAACAAAGCTGCAAACTTTGGACTGAACACAGATTGCTCGTAGGGCATGTGGTACTTACAGTGAAACATCGGGTGGGTGCTGTGCGGTGGTGATGGCTCTGTCCTCTGGTGTTCCAACACAGTTCACTCACGTTTCTGGAAGTAATGACGATGGTAACGATGGAGAAGGGCCAGATGGTCCCTTTCTGATGTGTGCAGGATGAGGGCTGGCTGCCACAGTCCCCACGTCTGTAACCTGTGTTCTCCTCTAAGGAGATGGTTTCATCTTAGCGATGGCGATACACTGCAGCAAATCCCAGCACCTCAGAAGGAAGTGCTTGAAGGCAGTCTCTTCAGAGCTCGGTATTTTCCTCCAGAGCTGCTAGACGCAATTCCTGTCTGTCTTGTGGTTGGCAGTGGCAGCTGGGAGCTGGCAAGGCTGCTTCTTGCCTGACTGCTGCTCGCTGGTTGTTTCAATGGGAAACTGGCTTCTTCAGAGAGCTTGGGGGGCTTTTTTCCGTAATGGTTAGCTAAAGTTAAAACCAGCACTGCCTTCAGCTCCAAAGCGTAGGGATTATCAGAGGCACGGATGGAAGTTCCACGTCTCAGGTGCAGATAACTCTCAAGCACAGACTCTTTCTTTGTTTTGATGAACACTTCCCTGTTTTGCCACTGTCTTGATCCCTGTGGCCCCTCATTCCATCTCTTTTGAAGATATCCCACCAGTTCTGTAAGCTTCTTCTTGCCTTTGTGACTTGACTTTATCTTCCAGTAAGTTTACCTGATTTATTAGGTGCTTGTGTGAAGTTCAGTTTTCCACGGAGGGAACACTTTTCTTGGCTGCCTTCTGAACGTCGACTTTCAGAAGAGATGTCTGCCTGTCGGAACGGTGCTGTGCCCGCAGTACCTGCAGCAACGACAAGGGGGACAGAATTGAGAAGACAGTCAATTTGCAGCGGAAAACTCATCTTCCCTAGTTAACAAAAGCAAATACTGCAGTTAGCATTCCTCTCACTGGCTTACTGTGCTTATTGTCTGAACCAAAAGCCACTTGAGTATTATCTTTCTTTACTTAGAAAATAATAATAGGAACACATGGCGATGTTTGGTCAGCAGGGGATCTCTTAGTGATGCACTTTTTATAGGGAATCCTTACTGGCTTAATTTACACCTTGTTCCTTCCTTACAGGGGTTGTGTGTATGTTCCTTCATGTTACCCTAGTGTTAATTATAAATGCAGAACTAATCTGTTTTGTTTTTATCTTGGTGCTAATTTGCATTGAGTCATATTGCACATCTGTGTTGCTTGGTTTTTTGCTCTGGAAACAGTTAAATGTGAATGGTTTAATACTTGTTTCATCAAAGCACTAAAGCTGTGTTCAGTATAACTAACAAGTGGGTATTCTGAAAGACATGACTTGTCTTTTGTAACATGATGAGGTGAAAGTGGGCGAGTTCTGAACCAGTACAGCTTTTATTCTTGTTTTACTTCTGCACTGTGGAAAGATAACGATGGAGGGGTTTGTTCTTTTCAGGGCAGCAAAGTACAGACCAGAGTCGGACTACTGATGTTGCTTTGTACTTGGCTAAGCAACTGCTCAATTGCTGTCACGCACTTCCTTCACAACCCAGCCAACGTACCTTTTGTATCCTTGACCTGCTTGCAGAGTAGAACCGCTTGCCTAGAAGTTACTTGGGTTATTCACGTTCAAGTTAAATGTTTATCTCGATGCTGCACGACATGAAAGAAAATGCACTGGGGCAAGCGATACAACCACCCTTTGCTGGCAGAGCTGTGTGGGTGCTGACCCGTCTATAAGATGTGCATGTGACAAAGCGCAGCGGAAAGCTGTGTCATTCTGACAGCAATGTGTATTTTTTATTGCGACAAGCCCGTTTATATTTTCAGCGTGACTTACGCTTACACCCAAGATGAAGGAAGAATGCTTCCTACTTCTATTGAAGCTTATTTCTGTGCTTCCTTTTCAGGAAAAGATCTGTCTAAAGTACACAAGGCTAAACTGTCACCTTATCTAAACTGAGAGTTTGTTTTGGAACAAGTAAATCTCTTGGGTGAAGCAGACAGTTACTGAGAAAAGAAGCTTCAGGGGAACCACTGAGTACCCAAGTCCTTGAACGTAGCTTTGCGAGGGCTCCATCAGCTGTTCTGCCCACTTCCCAACCCAGCTGGGTTTTACATGTGGAAATTGTAACTGGGAATTCATACAGGGAGGGTACATTCTATGTGTTGTGCTTGTGAAGTATCTCAACTATCCTTAACAAGAGCTCTAGCTCACAGGGCAGATAGCTGAAAACCTTGGAGAGGAGGAGCAGCTCGTCCAAGGCCTGTGTGCCCTCCTGCTTGGCATCTCCATCTACTACAATGACAACTCCCTTGAAAATTATAGGAAGTAAGTATGAGGTGGAAGTAAGAGGACTGCAGGGAAAGGTTCTGTGCGTGACAGATGGTGGGTTAAGAGGCTTTTAACTGAGGCGATGCAGTTGAGAATATTTGGCTGAATGTTTTCTATGCCTGTTCCTTAGGGGATGCAGAATAACTGACCCAGCTGCAGGCAGGCAAAGCAGGAGGCTGTTTTGCACAGGTCCTCCTAACCTGAGTGTTCCTGGGCTGGCAGCAGGTGTCAGTGGCACGCTGAAAAAAATGTCACCTTGCATGTGACCCATGTGGTGTGGGTTAAGACTTGAGACAGATACTTACAGTCCTAACTGGAAAAACCGCTGTGAGGGAAGAATGGGTTTGGCTCTTTGCAGCTGTTGTGCTGTGATTGATTTGTCTCTCCTTTTCAGAGAGAAGCTGAAGCAGCTGATTGAGAAGAGGATTGGCAGGGAGAACTTCGTTGAGAAGCTGGGCTTCATTAGCAAACATGAACTTTATTCCAGAGCTGCTCAGAAACCACAGCCTAGTTTTTCCAGCCCAGACCACATGATGTTTGATCATGAATTTACCAAGCTTGTAAAGGAGTTGGAAGGTGAGATGTTGTTCTCATTTCTGTAGTTGTGATGAACTGATGAGTGAACTACCAAATGTGCTGGATGTAGCCCTCAGAGCGCAGCATGATGATACCGAAGTGGAGTATTCTGAAAAACGTGCTGCAGCAATAGCTGGAAGTGATCATACACACAAGCTCACAGTTCAAGTATTTAGTAAAAATACTCCATAATCAGGGCTTGTACTGACTGGATAACTTTATATTGTGAAGTGAAATGATTCCTGATACATGCCCTGAGTTACCATACTGTGTCTAAGAGGTGTATGTACCTGTGCTCAGAGACCAAAGTACTGAGCACGTACGGTGGGCACAGAAGCTCGGTTCGTGGACAAGAGGTGTATGTACCTGTGCTCAGATAGAGACCAAAGTACTGAGCACATACGGTGGGCACAGAAGCTCGGTTCGTGGAACTATGCACTCTAGGGAGTTGGTGTTTATAAGAATTATGAATGCAGAATTTTCTGTCTGGTTATAAAATGATAGAGACTTTCTTCAGTAAAAGACACAGGTTGTCATCATCCTTAACATCTAACTCATGTGCAGTTCATGAACACTGCCCAATCAGTCCAGAGAAGGAGAAGACCTTGGAGCAGCAACAGTAAAGATGGTTTTGCCAATCGCCTTTCGCCCATAGCCTTAAGTCTTTCACTTAGGCAGGTAAAGCACACCCTTCTAAGAGAAAGGAAGGAAAACACCCATTTGCTTTTCTGAAACTGCAAAGCAGTAAGTCTGCAAACCTTGCTATTGACAAGTTGCCATTTCCTGTGTTCTTCAAGCCCTGGGTGACAAGTGCTTTGTTGAAAGGGCAGGTTGAGGTTCCAGTGCCATGACTGTGCGACTGTTCCAAGGACAAAAGAGCTGTGAACTGGGCTTTAGCTGATAAACTCTTTCTGACAGGTGTCATAAGTAAAGCTATTTACAAGTCCAGCGAGGAAGATAAAAAGGAAGAGGAGGTCAAGAAGACATTGGAACAGCATGACAACATTGTGACTCACTACAAAAAAGTCATCAGAGAGCAGGTAAGAGGGAGTTACACCGCACACATGCCTCCAGGAGTTGCTTGTTCTGGATTTTTTTTTTTTTTTTTGCAGTTTGGTACTCAGTGTTCCAAACTAAGTAACAAGGAATCAACCCCTGCAGAAACAATTCGAAACACATTGAAGCCAGCAATTTCTGGCTGAAGGGCAGTGTCAGTGTTTAGAATACCAGTGAAGTTTCATTCTTTTCCTAGGGTGCGTCTTCTCCTTCCAGCTTTAAGTGTTTCTTTTCAAATGAGGATCTGTAGTACTTGCAGCCTTTCAAAAGAAAAATGTAATTCTTCTGTGCTCGCACCTTTGAAAAGACGGCAGATGAAATGTGGCTGAATGAAGAAATTAAGTTTGTCAATGAAGTTTGGGTACACTTGCTGTGGTTGGACTCTCAGGTTTTTTTTCCAACAGTAGTTCGCTTGTTGCCATAGTTGACACTGAGAAGCAGAGGAGCGAAGCTGATGAACTTACGGAGCTAATGGGGAACTGACGCAGGTGTTTGTAGTTCAGGGATATGGAATGGATACAGAATATAGTGGGAATAGCTATCTAAGCTTGTGTGAGGCTTTTCTGCTCATCGCTCAGGTACCACTGACAATGTCATGAGCTAGTAATGTGTACTGGTGGAGTCAAGGGTTTTCTGTCTTTATTCTCCTTCCTGACAGTGTTGTATTCAAAAGTGTTGCACTTTTTTTTTTTTTTTCCTTCCTGTCACAGGACCAGGAGCTTGAAGAATTAAAACAGCAAATCAACACTTTAAAATCTCAAAATGAACAGCTCCAAGCAACAGTTACACAGCAAGTGTCGCAGATCCAACAGCATAAAGACCAATATAATCTCCTTAAAGTACAGCTAGGTAGGCTTCAGAAAGAATAAAAAGTAATCTCGCTAGTGGTAAAGATCTTGTGTAATCTATGGCAAGGCACAGAACAGACAGCCTCTGGCGCTTCAGGCGTGCTGATGTGTGTTCTGCAGCATGTGAAAACTTCCCATAGAGATAAAACACTATTTGCAAGCTGATGTGAGCATTGCAAACAACTTAGTTTAAGCATCAGATTGGATCAGGTTGAATGAATTACCTAAAAATAGCAGGTTTTGCTTTAAGTGCCTTGAAACTGTAGAGTAAAGGACAGGGAGGACTAAGGACAGCTTGAAAGTGTGAATGAGGTATAATTTTTTCCTGCTTTGTGCTCAGCTCTTGGGTCTCTTGAAATGATAGTTCAGCTTTCTGCAAGATCTGTTTGAGCACGTGGGCTAGGGCCAATCTGCCCCGTGAGCCTGCTCGCTGGAAAACAGCTTGCTACTACCTGAAGGCTTAAAGCAGGACAGCGTATTCCAGTTATTCCGAGGTCAAGATGCCTCATAAGCTGCATATGACATGATCTCAAAAAGCAATTCTACCTTCAGGATTATTTAGTATTAAAAATAGATTCCTGAGTTAGAATGGCTTTTATTGCCCTGGGGGCAGGAGGAGGACAGTCAATAATTTGTGTGTTTGAAGCTAACTTCAAAATGATGCTGATGTTTGTGACCTTTGTTATAAACCTCCGTCTTTCAGGAAAGGACACTCAGCATCAGAACTCCCACAGCGATACGTTTCAGATGAATGGCATTCAGACGGAAGAAGTAAGCAAATTGAAAGAGGAGCTGGAAGAATGGAAAACCAAATATGACCTGCTGCAAGGACAGCTAAGGGAAAAGGATTCTGTGATTGAAAAATTGGTAAGTGCTAACTGTCTCAGCAGAACTTGATCTGGCTTCCAATTTCTCATTTCAAATGTAATTTGCTGTAAGCTGTGCAAGTCCTCGTTATGATGGCAGTCAATCATAACTGATTGGTTTCTCTTTTCAAATGTAATTTGCTGTAAGCTGTGCGAGTCCTTGTTATGATGGCAGTCAATCATAACTGATTGCGTGCTGATAATAGGAAATGTGGTGGGAGATGGCTTGAGCAGAGCCTTTTCTGCTTCCCAGGAATAATTTGTGCAGCTGACCCGTTGTACTGTAGCTTTTAGCATGTTTTGGGGGTGACAGAATGGTAGGTGTCTCGTAGGAGCTTAATGGGGTAATGCCCAAGAGAATTTATGGCTTTTAGCATGTTTTGGGGGTGACAGAGTGGTAGGTGTCTCGTAGGAGCTTAAAGGGGTAATGCCCAAGACATACTTACGGTGGCCTGCGTTTGGGGGCCTGCTTGTGAAATGCAGGATGACACATGCTGCTTTTATTTTTTCCATGTCTTCTGCATCTGAATTGGGGAAAGGTGTTTTTGCATCCACCTTAGAGACGACCATCCAGCTGTCCTCTTGCAATCAAGAGCTTTATGATGTGCATTTCCTATCCTGCTTGCACCTTCTCTGCTGGGAACTTTATGTTCTGACAACATGACTGTATTTAGGCTGGCTCTGTGGCTGATTTTCCTGTTGTTGTTACAGAAGTCTTCACAGCTGGAAATGGGAACAACAGAGCAGTCCTTGCAGACCAGCAGATCTGGTGGCTTGGAGCACAACGCTGAACTACAGGTGAGCTTGTGGTGTTTCAGCAAAGCTGCACTGAACAGTGGTAGCTGGGGATGGGAAGGGAGCTCTCTCAAGCTTCAGGAAGGAGCGTGGGTTCCTGAGCATGCTGATGTTTTTAATGGTGTACATTTGTGTGATGACGGTAATAATCCTGGAGTATCGAGATTATGCATATCTGCAGGTTCCATAATTGAGGGTAGCTGTTGCTCAAAGAATACTGTGATTAGAAAGCTAATAATGCCTGGGCTGATAAATCAGAGCAGGCGTCCGCACCAAGAGCGGGTGTGTGCGGAGGGTGCTAACGGGAGGGCTGGTGGTGTGAAACACGGTCATCAACACGCTGCGGCTCCCACAGCTGCCTTGGCTGGGCATTCTACAGAGGAGAGTTAGTAAGAGCGGGGCAGAAAATGGTGCATGTGGCTGAGTAGTTTTGTCTTTTAGAGAAATGGTTGCTGGGCTCTCATTGAGAGATGCAGCTTTCCTCCCGTGTGTGTCCGTATGAAGCAGTTAATCTGGTAACAGTTAACTTGGGAAAAAATGTAACTGCCTTGCTTTGCAAATTAACTTAAAAGTATGTTTCTTCTTTGTTTCCCAAAGGAATTAGAAATGCTCAGGAGTCAGATACAACAACAGTCTGCAGAAATCTCTAAACTTCAGACTGAGAATCAAAAGCTACAAGTAATGGTACTGGTGAAACACTTATTTTCTCTTTGGGGACTACATCTGGAAGACTTTGTTTTCCTGCTTAGGCTATCTGTAGATACTGTCCTAACCCAAGCTTGTTTTAAAAATACACATCAGCAAGTGACTCTGGCAGTGTTTTAAATGAAGTAACGAGTTACCTAGACAAATCCTTCATAAGGACGGAGGGGAACTTGCAGTCAAGTTAGTGCTCTGTGAGGCCACTGGTCCTTGGTGTGTTTCAACAAAGGAACACCAGCTAGTCAGTGTTTAAGCTTATACCCTAATCAAAGGAAAGAGTCTCCCTTGAGACACAAATGCATCCTATCATGAATGTTAGAGGGATCATTATTCTTCTAAACAGTTGAGGATACTAATTTGGAAGTTGATGTGCAGTGGAACATGGTCCGTCCAGCTGTCTGTGCAGACCTCCAAACGCTTCAGAGCTTCATTTCACTGCATATTGAAAAGATTTGCTAATAAAGCCATAGAGAATAACTAAATAAATGTGATTCTGTCCTCAGAACTAGCTGATGGCATTAGAAAGTGAATGTTGAGCTAGAGCACTTCAACAGCGAGTTGCATGAAAATGTTACAGACTTTTCCACAGCAGAGCCAATAGATACAGGTGCGGGAGCGTGGGCCATGCGAACAACCTGTGCTGCTTGGTGCTCCAGTGGAACAGGAGTAGCTCCTGTGTGCTCTGCTCTAATGAAGACAGGGTAGCTGGTGGGTGGTGGCTGCACTCACTTAAACTCTTGCTTGTGGCTGGTTTGTTCTGACTTGGGCACTAAATTCTAATTTTGGCATTGTAGGAAAGAGGACTTGTGTGGGGGAAGACATCAAATGTTTAACTTAATGTAGAGATCATTTGAGAGAGGAAGGCGTTTAAACTTTCCCTGTCAGAAGTCTCAGCTGCTCTGACACCAGATGCCATCGCATGTGTTGGTGTGGATGCTGGAGGCAGAGGCACGCTGAAGTGGTCCCTGCTGCCACCAGCTGTCAGGCCCCTTAACTGCCGTCCTGCTACAGACTGCCTGCCTTTATCCTAGAGCTGACCTAAACATGGGGTAATGGGAGAAGCAATTATCCAGAATTCGTGCCACGCTGCAGTTCTAGCTGAAAGACAGCTGCCACATTTTGCAAATGATAAGTTTGGGTGGGGCTGAGATTAAACTGTTGCTGTTTTTAGTAGTCACATACAAGATTTTGATATTTAGCCTAATAAAAAAAGTCTTTGGCACTTAAGAAGCATCTGAGTGAAAGCTGGTGGCCTGTAATAGGCAGGGTCTGCCAAGGGGGGAAAAAAACGCAAACAACTAACAGTCTCTTCAGAGTGGAACTTCCATGAAACAGGGGTTGCACCTTGTGTTCTTTTTGTGTGCATGTGTGTATGTGTTTACTGAGACCCCAAGAAGCACAGACCTGTTTGCTGATGCCTTGCAGTGCAGGATGTGCATAGCTACCACACCTTGGCCACGCTGTAAGAAGATATGCTTTTAAATTCTACAACTGACTGTATAATGTTTTAGCTTGCTGCCTTTCTATGTGCGGCATTCAGTGCTCTGATCCTGAATTTCTTGTCCACAGAATGCAACTGCAGATCCCATGTTAGGAGGCAACGGTGCAACAGCAGTCGAGAACTCTGAAGTGGAGGGACGACTTGAGCAAGAAATAAAAGAACTGAGGGTCGGTAGTGGATGAACACCAAACCAAGTGACTTGATACTCAGCCTTAGTGAGGACTTCTACAGTAGGAAGGGCTTTGGGTGGAGGTGGTGTGTTTCTACAGCGTCTTACGTGTTTCAGGCTATGTAAGGGAAGCTGGATGTTTAAGACTACCTTACTCTTGGTTGGTAATAAGGGTGTTTGAGTAAGGAGGTGTGTGGGAGCACAGCCACAAGGCACTTGGTGGGGTTGGAGCTGTTACAGGTAGTGATGTAGGACACAAGGCTTCAGCTGTTCCTGTGCTCACGGTGTACCTTGGTGTGGGATTTTTCCTGTTGCTAGAATGAAGTCAAAGCCCTTTCCGAGGAGAAGGCATCACTAAAGGAGCACCTGGATTCATCCAGTAGTACGGTTGCTATCTTGCAAGATGAGAAAAGTAAACTTCAGCAAGAAGTTGCAGAATCAAAGAAAGAACAGGATGATCTTCTGGTGCTCCTGGCTGACCAGGATCAGAAACTATCCGCGCTGAAGATCAAATTGAAGGATCTTGGTGTACCGGTAAGCAAAACAATGGGTCAGGTGAGTTCTTGTGTCCGAGGCAGGTCTGAGGGCTCTGGGTATGGCAGTACTTGATCCAATGAGTCTGGTGAGCCATCTCCCTCTAAATAGAGGGCTGTTGAATCTACCAGAATTGCTTTCTGAGCCTGCGTTGGCAGCCATCAGTAACAGATGGTTACTGTCTCTTCTCAGCAGTCAGCCACCCTTAGCATCGAAGTTAAAAGCTGTGTGACATTATGAGATGACAGTTGCCTTTATCAAGTGCTAATTGATACAGCAGGATAATTTTAGGTTAGCTTTAAGGTTCTTTTTGCTCCCTCAGCATTTGTGTTGCCTTCAGCAGGTTGGATCAGAATAAGGGATTTTACTGCTCACAACAGATCTTTCCTCATTTCAGGTTGAAGATGAAGATGACATTGAATCTGGAGATCAAGGCGATGAAGATGAGGATGGGGATGAAGAGGAGCAAGACTAGAATGCTTTTGTGTGTTACCATGAAAACTAGATTGCATTGTTATTGGGGGGAAGAAAAAAATCTATTATTGGTATACAAAGCAAAACATCTGCTAGTGAGCAGCAGACGGGAAAACGGCAACTGTGGAACTAGTTATAAGTTACTGAAGTGTTTGAAAACCCTTCATGCTAGGTAAAGCAAACAACAATCACTGTTTAAGTTATACATCAGTATCCCAAACTGTACTTGTTTAGAAGTTGCTTTAGACACTGTTTAAAACATGGGGATGGCAATGTTGCTGCCTCGGTTCATTGTCATTGACAGAAGTTCTGTGCATTTGTCTACAGTTTTAACCTTCTGGAACTCTTAATTAAATACAAAAGTATTTGGTTTAACATCTGTCAAATGGAATCATTGCCTCTGCCTTCAGCATGGAGCATCAGTGTAATTCGTGGCTTCCTTTAAAGGAAGGGTTGGGGGTGGCTGCGGCGTGCGCTGGCCCCTCGCTGGCCTCCTGGGCTGGTTCTCGAGGTGCGAATGGACCTGCACAGTGTGGAGTGCCTTGGCATCTGTACGGCTGCACTGAGAACCTCCTGGAGGGAACCCGAGGGAACCACTACGCAACGCTAATACCATGGAAGAGGTTTCATGGAAACCTGCACAAGACAGGTAGCGTTTTTAAGAAGAATCTTTGGAAAAACAGAGACCATTACGCTCTTTCTAAAGATCTAACGTGCTACCACCTCAGCATAAAAATAAGTAAAAATCTTGTTGACTACTTCAGTAAGGAAATTAAAACTGCTATGATTTATATAACTTATTGGCTCTTGACAAGTGAATAAAAGATAAAATTTTAAAAGAAAAAACTGAATACAGTAAATGCATCAATTTCATTTTTTGGTAATAAAAATAGGTTTGTCCACTTAGTACTCATTTAATTCTCTTGTCCTGTTTTAATAAAGTATGTTTTATACCCATAGAAAATTGTCTAAAATCCAGCCTAGGGTGGCAGGTGAAAGTAGCAATGTACCCTGTACAGGGGTTCTTATCACACGAGTACAGAGGGATGCTGGGTCAGTTTTTGCATTTTTCCCTGATACAGACTTCAGTAGCTGCTTCACTTCCTTAGAGCTTTTATTTTTTTAAATACAGTCATTCCTTCATCAAATGATAATTTGAGAAAGACGAAGAAGGAAAGTCACCTCATACACAAAAGTGCTTTTCTGTGGAAGTGTTGGATCCTTCAGTAGGGAGCATGAGTGGCAGTGGAGAAGGAGTGGTGTTAGGAAGCCTTGAGCCTTTGTTGTGCAGGGAGAGGCGGGAAGGGTGATGTGACCTGCAGAGCTGGGCCAGCGGGGCCATCTGCCCTTCCCTGCCTGTGTCTTGCTGGCTGATCTGTGACCTTGCAGGCTCTCTGTCTATTCTATGCACCTTTTACATCGCCCCAGATGTTACTGTCCTCTAGGTGCCTTTCTGCGAGGTCTCAAAATGCTGCGGGCAGAAATAGACATTTCTGTAATCTGTTCTTCAGTAGGCGAGCGTACCCTAGGAGGCAAGCGTGCCTCTCCAGAGGAGAGGGAAAGGGAACAGAGAAAGGAAGATAGGGGAAAATAAACGAACCTTAGGCTGATGAGATGGAATCACCTGCAAAATAAGCATAAGCACAGACTTGGTATGAGAAAGCACAAGGCATGTGCTTCGTAGTCTGGCCTAAAGTTGATCAGGAGCTGTTAATCTGGCAACCTTCCCTGGACACCAGTGCCACTCCTGAAAGACGGTATGCCACAACAGTCTTTTGTTGCTGTTCTCTGCAGTGCTATGCTTGGGAAGTTCTTCCTTTTGGAGGCAACTTCAAAATGTTTGAAATTGCAAAAAAAATGAAGGAAGAAATAACTAGGTGGGGTAGGAAGTTCAGGAGACAGACAAACTGGTTGCAAACAGGTTTTAAAGCAGCCTGTTCAAAGTGCTTTTCCCAATTAGAAAACCTGTTTTGTTGATTATTTTATTGCACCATCCTCGTGGTATATCTTCCTGCTGGTCGTAGACGTGTCTGGATTATAATGCGTGATCGTAAAATGGGTGGCCTTTGCCTGGAAGATATTCACTTGGCTGTGCTTTCTTGGCTGTGTCATGAAAATTAGATTTATTTTTGCTCTTCTGGAATCTTCCCTTGTCCCATCATAACTGGGACATCATGAATACAGGGTGTTTTTCCTCACTCTGCGCAGGGTTTGGATCCTTTCCATGTACTCTCTTTATCAAAGCAAGCAGTTGATAGTGAGGAGGTAAATACATCAGACGCTGATAGCTTGCTTGCTGCACATACTGACCTGGATACAGATAAACAGGCCGGGAGGTGCTGAGCTGCAGAGTACCAGGAGGGAAGAGCAGAAGCAACTAATTCTGATTATTGTATGCTAACAGCAGAGTGCTGCAACCCACCTGGAGGTCATGTCCAGACCAGGCAGTGGGGGTGCCGCCATATACACCCACTGCAAACGTTTTCAGGGAAGGTCCAGCACTGCCTTTTCTGAACACGGGAAGTCTTTGTAATTCCTTTAAGACAGCTGCTACACCATCTTCTGGATCAGTTGTTTGCAAAGTACGGACTTCAGGGAAGCAAAAGCAGCCTTACCTGTGTCACACAGCCTCTGCCTGCCGCTGCTCTTCCGCAGGCTCAAAAGTTGCCAAACCCTCTTCAGTTGTGTGAAGTTCTTCCTAGAAAATAAAATCCAAACAAAGTGTTCAGCAGTGCATAGAGGCTTAAGAGATTGTTTTTTGTAAATACTTTACTAGAGAAAATGTCTCCCTTTCTTAAAGGAATAAGAGAAAGTTTGAATGGGGAGAGACTGGAAACTGACTTGGGGAGGAAACTGGTTGCCAAGGAAGCAAACCCCACGTTTAAATGGGTCTGCACAAGCCTGTGATTACTTTGTACCACTTATATGAGAAACCAATAACTTTATGACAATGCTCTTGATAAAGGATCAACCTGTGATGCAAGAGGCTCAGCTCCTGAGGCTGATGGTGAAGGTCAGGCCAAGGCTGAATGTACCGCCGGCGCATGGTGTTGCGCCTTGAAGCCCAAAGTGTCACTGCTGGGCAAAGAGGGGACAGTCTGGTCGTTAACAGTTGCTTGCAGCAGCACGTGTTTCACGAGAAGCAGTACAATAAATCACGGGCAGACAGCGGGCTTGATTGGAGGGAGATAACTAGTGCCGGACAAGAAGAGCCGTTGCTCTGCAGGTCGGTGTGTTTACACACGGGGAGACCCTTGGGAAAGCACGTGCACTGGGGCTGGTGTTACAGACCCCCATGAGAACAAGCGGCAGACAGCTCAGCACCAAGACAAATGAGTTAGCCCTGATCGCCGGCGAGACCCGAGGCGCAGGACAGCTGAGGCTCCCTCCAGCCATCTCAGCCGCCGTGGCCGTTGCAGCCAGATCGGTATCTCCTTACTGACCCGGGGTGTCCAGGCTACGTGACGGAGCAGGTGAGAGGCACTTCCCAGCTCACAGGGCTGGCACCGAGCATGCAGGTCCCAGAATCAGGCCCATGCTACAGCAATGAACCATTTCTGATGCTGCTGTTGCTGCGGCTCCATTTAGGCAAGGGCAGAACAGTCTGACTTTCCTGCAAGTCCCCGGCCCTGCCTGGAACCACCATCAAGAAAATCAACTGGGCGGTACGGCTATGTGCCTGGCTCTGCAGCCTCCTCCCTCTTTAAGACAGTTGGCATGGGAGGACAATGCCCCACATCCAGAGAGCGAGAAGTCTCTCATTGAAGTTTCACCACCAATGAGGGGTTCCCAGAGCTCCCCAAGGCAAAGGAGAAATGGGGTTTCTCCGGTAATTAAGGGAGTCCTGAGACACAGCCTTGTTTAAGCTATCACTACAAGCCTGCTGAATGCTCACAATGAGATTCAGTCTAAACTGACACCAAAATACAGCCCAATGTTCATCACCCGTGACATGAACAAGTTGGGTAAGTACAGCGCAAAGTTGCAAGCTGTGGCTCCACCTGCCCTCCTGGGGGACCCCAGACTCTCCTCTGCATGCTTTCAGCCCCAAAAATGATGATGCAAGGGCCAGCGGGTTTGCTGCAGGCTGCATTCTTCGCCTGCTGGCTCGGGAGGGCATGCGTGCGGCTGGGAGGGAAAAAGGACGCCAAGGTAATGAGTGAGATCTTGTTTCTCCTTAGGCAGGGCTCCATAGCCAGCTGGGCCTACCAGCCATCCTGGGGAAGGCTTTCCTAACAGCTACCCCGACATTTGCCAGCTCTGGCTGGCCACCAGAGGTCATGGTCCTCACACGCATGGCTCGGAAACCCAGCTGAAGCATCCTGAGCTCCAGCCTGGCCACAGGAGCCAGTGGAAGGGTTCCACACTAACCCAGTGGTTGCTTTGGGTTTCAAACAGGGCTGTAGGGCAAGCAGCTGTAATATAACTTACTCTCCTGCTACCTACGTCTGGCAATTCTCAACCCAAAATACTTTCTAGCAGCTGGCACAGCCTCCTTCTGACTGTGCTCCTGCCTCTGAAATCCTGGGGTTTCTGCTGTGTACTTGTCAAGCAGCAAACACGGCTCTTCTGCTGAATTCCCCAGTAAAGACGAGCGTACCTGGCAGCTGCTCAGTCCCCTTGTCCCTGCTCCTCAGGTGGAACAGAAAGAACCTGTTTATGCTCCAGGTGTAAAGCTGAAGCCAGCGTTGTGCCGGGTGGGTTCAAACCTCACAAACTTTAATTCTGCAGTGTGGTGACGCACGTGGAAACCTGAAGGCCTGTCTGTCTGCTCATCAATTCAGAAGTAACAGAGTCCAAGAGCTGGACCAAGTCAAAAGACCTGTTTCACCAGTGATCCACTGTGCGACCTCTGCAGAGGAGTGGCTTCATTCGCCTCAGCCTCCACGCAACTTACTCTCCTGGGCTTTTGCAAACTTCACCAATGCATATGGTGCTATATGGGGATATGGAGCCAACATCTCTGCTGCTCCTTTCAGGAGGCTGTGGGGCTCCTGGGAG